TGCCATGCATCATTCCTACTTGGCTATGGCTCTCAGCAAGGCAGGAGGATTTCGAGTTCGAAGTCAGCCTTAGCAACTTCGTGAGGCCCTAAGCAACTCAGTGAAACTCTGTCTCTAAATAAAATTTTAAAAAAGGGATGAGGATGTGGCTCAGTGGTTGTTAAGTGTCCCTGGGTTCAATCCCTGGTATAAGAAAAAAAAATTCCATACACATAAAAAGTTGAGAGCCACTGTTTGCAGTCCTTCAGTTACTAAAGAAGCCAAACTTGATACTGCTTCCATGAGTCTTCTTCAGGTCTCCAGGATCTCCAACTACTTCTCCCTTTTCTAGGCTGCTGGGGTTCTATGGGTGTGCTTGTTCTTTAGTGCACTGTAGATGATACTTGTTTCATTTGATCCAGGATGCTCTCCGTTTTCTCCTCTATAAAATGAGGAGTCATTCTAGATGGTTTTTAAGATCTCTAGCTCCTGCATGTTAAATCTTCCCAACTAGAATTTATAGTAATAGAACTTATCTAGTCTTCAAGAACACCTTTGATCTCCCAATGTTTCCAGGACATTTTGGGAAAATGCTACAGACAGCATCAACCTACCTTCTTATTATTCACTAGGGATCCTCCTAAAGGACCCCTGAGCAATGGTGATGGGATAGTTTTAACTTAGGGACACAGAGAGAGGGGCCTATTTACAAAACAAACAAACAAACAAACAAAAAACCTTTGGTGTTATTTGTTAGAAACTTCTCTAGGCCTGATAATTCCCCAGCAGCTTTCTATAACTCCCAAGATCAGAAGAAGCTGTTTTTCAACAGCCTATTTTACTCAAATCACATTCTTTTCTGAGAAACATCTGAGATGCATCTTGAACAAGAAATGTCTCATGGAAAAGAGTGGAGAGTAGGCTAATGACTGAGATGAAACCAGAGGAAGAGTCTGAAATTAGATCAATATCTACAACCTCCTAAGTTTTTGCAGTGCTCCCGAAAAGCCCCAGGCCTCAGCAGCTCCCTTGGGGAGTTTTAAAAAAGTTTTTAAAAAGCAAAGGAGAGGCTTGTTGTAACTGTGCTTGTCTTTTAGAAGTGCCACTGTGGCATTTCTGCAGCACAGGGTGTACGTGTGTATTTTACTGGTGGAGTTTATGTGCCCTATGATATTTAGTTATTAATCATCCAGTGACACTGAGCTGGATGAGTTAGCCAAGTATTTCTTTTAAGAAAACAGATGTTGCTAAGAAGTCACTGTTCTAATTTATGAGAAAAAAAAATCCACTAACATGTAAAATGTGATTTATTTTTAAAAATAAAGAGAAAAATGTGATTTATAATTAAAAAATGTAAATCTTCGGGCTGGGGTTATGGCTCAGTGGTAGAGCACTTGCCTAGCCTGTGTAAGGCCTGGGTTCCACCTTCAGCACCACATAAAAATAAAGGTATTGTGTCTATCTACAACTAAAATTTTTTTGTTTAAAATGTAAATCTTCCATTGCTATTAAATACTATAAAAGGACATGTCTCCATTATTGTATAACATCCATGTTACGAATCACTTTGTAAGGGCCAGGGATATGGCTCATGGTAGAGCACTTGCCTAGCATGTGCAAGGCATCGGGTTTCATACCCAGAACCACAAAAAATAAATAAAATAAATCTTTAATAAGATGATTATTGTCTTCTAATTGGGAGTTAGAGCCCAATTTTCTCATTTGGAGGGCATGTTGGTTAAATGGCTTCTCCATTTCTATTTCCCCAAAGTAACTTGTAAGAAATGTTTCAGGCTAGATTCGCTTATTTTCCATCTCACACATGATTAGAATAAGCAATGTCTTAAGCCAGTGGTTCTCAAACTATAGGGTGTCTTGGAATACCTGGAAGACTTAAGACAGACTTCTAGGCCCCCTGAGTTTCTCAGTCAGTCTAGGGGTTGAACTCACAATTTGGATTTCTAACAAGTGATCTCAAGTGATGCTGATGCTGCTGATCTGGGGACCCTGCTTTCCTTTACCATCAGCTCTGTGTGAAAATCCAATTGGGTTCTGAATACTGCAGATGCAGTTTGTGGATTGTTTTTGAAAGCAGAATGCCCACTTGTGGAATGAAACAGTTCATCAGTGTTACCTGAAGCAGCTGGGTTTGGTTATGGGGAGCTCAAAAGGGTACCGTGATGCCTTTCATTGTTCATGTCAGCAGTGTCTGGTGCCTCCAACAAGGAGACACGGAGGTTCAGGAAGGTTCTTGGATGACTTTGCAGATGGAGTAGGCCCCCAAAGGTGTGTGTCTTCAAGCTCAACAGAGTTGAGCAGTAATGACACTGGTGGCCGCTGTCACACTCTTGGTGTAGGACAAAGAGAGAACTGTCCCTAGACCCCATCAAGGATTGTGGCATTAGCAGCCATAGTCCCCAAGCTGCAGGATGTAAAGAAGACCTTCCTCCAGACTCTCAGGATGAATGTGGGAGATACCTGGGCCTGTGGCATGAGCAGCCACAGTTCTAGAACCACAGGGTGGGATGGGGCCTTCCCCAGGTTGAACACAGGTGTTCTGGGGACTATGGCATTGGTAATCACAGACTCAGAGTTGTAGAACAAAGCAGGTCTTAATAAGATAACAAATAACCCAATCAACAAATGGGCCAAGGACCTGAACAGACACTTCTCAGAGGAGGACATACAATCAATCAACAAGTACATG